TACTTTAAGTCTTTGCCTTCATTGCGGCTCGTCTCCGGTCAGGTTAAGGCCGGAGAACCAGCGTTACAACTACACTATAAACACAGCGTACATCCACTAATTTGAGCTACATAATCAAATGATAGAACATATTCGCGTCCACTAAAATTAAACAGGAAAACCCGAACTAATAATTCTCAGATTCTAGTCTGCAGTGTATCTGTGTCTCAATTTCAGCATCGCAGCCCGCCCCCAGCCTTGGGCTGTTGCCGAGCATTCTTGGCTTGGTTTTCTGTAGTTTCTACCTGAAGTAATACAGTTTATCTCTATGAATACTGTATTCGTTCTCCTTCGGTAACTAGGCCTCTGAAAGTTCCATCTGAGCTCGTGTCTGTGCACTAGAAAACGGCGGCGTGACAGAGGCGGCGCTGTGCTGCAGGTGGTGGTCCGTTAGGGGCACTGCTGTCTCCCTTATAATTCAACAGACAAACAACAGGAATTCGATCCACCGGCATCGAGCCTGGAAATTAGCCGCCAAGTTGCGGGAGGCGACAACGAGGGGTAGCAGCAGGCAGAGCCTTGATCAGCTCTCTCGCAGTCCCACACAGGGGCGGTGATTAGCTGATATGAAGGCTGTTTGAAGGCGTGTGAGGACTTCTGCCCCTCTAATAAGGCCAATCTGCATCAATTAAAATGCAAGAAATGAGAGACACTGCGGTTAACAAGCATCCCCGGGCTCCGCCACACCACAACCGCCTGATCATGCGGCACCGGCGCGGCGCAGCGCAGCTACTGCCAGGAGCAGCAACGAGGAGTCCAGCCCTCCCGCGTCTACTTTAAGGAGTATATTCAAATCAAAAGTACATTCTTATGTGTTTTTCACCGATGTACGAAGCCATCTCGTCGGCTCTCGGGAAAAGGATGCACCCCCGCGCTTGCAACCAGTTTCCTCCAGGTGATCTGAACAACCCACTGGCCCGTCAGCTGCCAACCATGCAACAGAGGAACACAGATGCAGCGGCTAACCTCGAATCACTTTGAAACAAATAGCATATTTACTGTACCTTATTGCCATATACTTTTGTGAGAATTGTTGCTCCTCTCAATCCAGTGAAGTCGCCATTCCGCGCCAAACTCGTGAGAGTCACTCATGCTGTAACCCAGACATTGCAGAGCGTTTTCCGATCACCGCCTGAACTAGAAAAGACATATTTGCATATAAATGGCATTTTAAATGAACATATTATACGGGTTGACTCATATCACCTCGGTACGCAGCTGCGATAGCCCTATAAGCCTCGTGTTTCCGAAGCCATCGGGGGGAGAAGTAACGTGCTGTAGGGAGCACGGCGTCATAGTTGAGGAGCGTAGTGGCATGCAATACAGTGGAAAAGCTTAAATAAGGAGTTTCAAGAGCAGCTCAACTTTCCTCCAGTCCCTAGGGAGCCTGGGCGCGGCTGCCTCAGAGCAGAACAGGGAAGTGGAAGCGTAGGTTGGGTTGCAACGCACCTCACTGTAACTAGTGGTGCAAGGCAACCCCGCGTGCAAGCGCTCTAAGCCATTCCTAGATGCAAACACAAACACTATAGGCAGGTACTCAACACATTTTTTGCTAGCTTGCACGTGCGTGAAAATGGCGCTTGCAGTACGGTACATGGTCTCTACCATGATACAGCTGCTTGCGCCATGCTACGCATCATCTCTATCGATGGCACATAGTAGCGCCGTATACCAGAGCCGGAACTAGGGATGAAATAGTGGAATCCCCCCAGAAGATAGAGACCATAAGCATCAAAAAGAACAAGAACGCAAATTCCACTACCATAGCTAAGAAGGGAGTTGGGGGTACGGGTGCCAGCAACTCCCAGTGAAATGTTAGAAGCGAGAACAGACGCATGACGGCTGTTCTGGCACTCAGGAAGTAAGGGGGAAATGGCATAGCGGGTGTTCTGCTTTATCAAGCAATTCGATACTTGAGGGCCATGGAAATAACAGAAGAGTTTCAACACCCGCTAAAAAGCACAACCAGGTGATTAACCAAGACGCTCAGGCAAATGCATTGGCCTCTCCGCAATGCACCGCGCAGTGATGCGGCCAGAACAGGCGACAGCCACATCAATCCGTGCAGGTGACAGGCAGAAGAGTGCATTCCATAGCAGCTTCAATTGCAGCAAAGTGGAGTGCGCTTTTGTGGCCTTCGGGTTCGTGAATACGCCTTCTCAAGTGCTGTTACCGGTCAATAAGGGTTTATTGGGGCCAATCAGTGGGGGAGATATTGTTATAGGCATGAATAGCGTGCCTGCATCCAGCCGGATACTGCAGAAACAGTTGTAGTACTTTCGGCTTGCTCTGGAACTGCTGCATTAGAAGCAGTGGCCCTAACCCCTAAACTCTAAACACAAAAACCTTCAGTTTTCATGCGGTTGATTAGCTTTCTAGGGCTTCATGCTCCTGCGCTGCCTCTGTGCCGGCTCAATTCAAGAAAGGAAAATATCTTATTTAGACGGCGGCGAAACAGGAAGAAGTTTCCCGATGTCTCAACTTGTTTCGGCAGGAGTCTAGGAAGAATAATTCTTTGTTTTGTTGTTTTCTGCAATACAACTCGGTTGCTTGTGTTGTAGTACTGGCGGCGACGGCGAAGATGCAACGAAAGCTAAGGTGCAGAAAGCGTGTCAACCGGAAACGGTAGCTGGCAGTCCACACAAGTGGAATATTATTACATTTGTTTGCATTAAAATAAATCGTTTTACTTTACTAATTAACGCCGTCTGAAGCTAACTGGCATTTGTCACCCCGGTACAGACAATAACATGTTTATTACTACCTCTAGAGGGGCGGCGGCGTAAGCCCAAGCCCAGCAAGAAAGAGAGTTTTTTAAATACAGAGAATTCTATATTTGTGGTTTTAACACTTTGTTGCATTATATTTATGAAGTGTTTATTTTTGTAATACACATATGCCTGCCCTTCGACCACCGGGCCCTCTACGCTGGGGTCGGCATGCAACACAACTCATCGACGCGTACACCTCCTGGCTGCCGATCGCAGCAAGTTTTGCTTTTCTTCGTTTCTCCTTTTCGTAGTTTTCAGCCTCACATTACCTTTGATAGTCTTTGAGTAATCGTGAGCACCGCAGCCGCTGCAGGGCCACCAGTGCTGTCCGGGCTGGACCGTTTTCCCTTGCTGCCACGGCACCATACGACGCGCTTGAGTATACCGAAACAGCTTAATCGAAGTTTCAAACGGTTGCAACTGAGTATAGATGGAATTAAGTTGTATATTTTTGCGTGGTTTTAGCACTTTCAGACTAACTCGGGGGAGGAAGAGGCGCGGGTTTCCCTGTGTTGCGTGACACAGCAGCAGCTGTGCAGCTGCTGTATTGCACCCTACCAAAGGCAGCAGGAAGCGGTCAGCGTGGCGTTTCCTCCACTGCGCTTTCTCGGCGTATCATGAGGGGTCAGCAGGATGTCTGCTGCTGCTGCTGGTGCTGGCACGCGGCGCTCTCTGCTGCACGATGTGTTATCGCATGCAGAAGTGGTCGAGTTGGGCCTGGACGGCTCTGTTGATGATCTGCCGCCTCTGACCACTCGTCTGAGCCCTTCCTGCGCCCGCGTGGTGGTGCTGTTCGCCTGGTTTTACTTTCTTGCCTTTTGGGGGGCAGTGGCTGCGGCTGTTCGTCACGTGATAGCAGCGCATGCAGAAACTCTGTTACCAGGTCCTGAGGATTTCATCTTTGTTGCAGTTTCCACGGTGCTCCTGGTGTCTGCGGAGTTTGGGGTGTACTGTCACCTCAAGATTATGAATCCCGTATCTATCAACAACGGCCCAATGGGCAATTTATTATCTCCCACTCCTTGTTGTTCCTTTACCCACTTCATGCTTTCAGCAACGTCGCGTTTCTGTACATTTCTTGAGTTTTTATTTCTCTTGCATGCATGGGTGTTGCCGCTCCCCCTGTTGGCCTGTGCGGCGTTTACGGTGTCGACGACAGTGGGGGCGTTGCCTTTCCTGCTGCAGCTGCGGTGTCTTCTCAGCTGCCTCTTTGGTGATTTCTTTGACCCGTTGCGGTTCTCCACATGCATCCCCACTGTCCCACTTGAACGTCTGCTGCTGCGCTGCAGCCGCCTCTGCCTCGCGGGCGTCGCTAAGGGGGCCCGGGGGGCCCTCTGGCACCTCCGTAGAGCCAGGGAGAGGTTGAGGGGCCTCCTTCGACGCGGTGCTGCTGTCTCACCAGGCAGGAGAGTAGACATATCATGCTGTGACTTTGGCTCAGACAGCAGCAGCAGCAGCAGCAGCAGCAGCAGCAGGGCACGCCAGGCGTCCAGCAGCTGCCAGGCGAACATAGGGGGTGCAGCAGCAGTTCAGTTGCTGCAGGGAGAGGGGCCCTTACACGAGTTGGGGGCCCCCCTAACCGTCCTCAAGGAGCCTCTCGCGTACCCAGGCCAGAGCCAGCAGGGGGAGGGGGAGTGTCCATACACCCCAGCTGAAGGGGACGCAGCCCCAGGCGGTAGTGGTTCCTTCGCAGTTTCATCTTGTGGTGGATCTACAACAGCGGAATGGAGGCCCAACGAGCAGCAGCTGCAGCAGCCACCAGCTGTCCATACACCGCAAGAACTGGAGAATCTTTCGAGCTCTAGCCACTGCCCTGATGCTACCATTCCTTTCTCTTATCGAGAGGAAACTGCCAGCAGCCAGGGGCGCCCCCTCAGGCCCCCAGAAACCCCCACGAGGCCGCCAGCCCCGCAGTTCATCTCCCCTCGCGCTGCCTTGGTGCTGGCGAATTGTTTGTTTCTGCTGGACCTCCCCGGCCTGACGCTGCACGTCAAAGCGGTAAGAAAGCAAGAAATAAATAGCCTCAGTGATGCAACGGGGTGTATGCTGTATGCTATGGGGTGTACAGACAGCTGAACTTGTACTCACCATACACCCAGCTGAGCTCATACAATATATCCTTTTCACTCGAATTTTGACTGCATCCACCTCTGGGGCTGCATGCACTTGTGTGTGCGGCTTGTGGCGTTTGTTTTGTTGCTGCTGCATGCATCAGTATACTCTATACTATACTCGTTGTGGGGGGGGGGGGNGGGGGGGGGGGGGGGGTTGATGGCCTCCAGCAGTTTGTATGTACATGCTAGCTGTTTCTGTTGTATTCTATGTACAAAGCAAACTATATAATTTATATTAACATATAAAAGTTAATTTATAAATTAATTAAATATTTATTTCTGCTTTCTCTTTTTTTTTATGCAGAGCTTTCTCCCCCTTCAACAGCTGGAGGCCCATGAATTCCTGAGTTCTCTCGTTTCCCTTGTGTAAGTTTTTGTTTTATTTAGAGCCATCAATATAATATAAATTATATTATAATTAGCTTTAATTATATTTATTTATTCTTTATACAATTCATATTTTAATATTATAAAGAACACAATTTATTTGTACATTAGGAGAACAGCATAAGAGCATAAGAAACCTAAACAAACTGAAACACACAGCCACTCACTTTCCTTATTCGTTATTATTATTATTTTTATTATTATTATTATTATTATTTTTATTATTATTATTTTTATTATTTGTGTTGTTCTTGTTGCAGTGCACCTTATACAAGTAAAATAGGGTAAATACATTCATATTCTTTATTTATGTATCTATTGGTTTATCTTTAATTAAAACCCTAAACCCTAATTCAAACCCTAAACCCTAATGCAAACCCTAAACCCTAACCGAAACCCTAAACCCTAAACCCTAAGCGCTAATTTTAGCCATAATGGACATCTTGAGTGCACTACCACTGCGTGTTTTTCTTTAGGGTTTAGGGTTTAGGGTTTAGGGTTTAGGGTTTAGGGTTATGCTTCTTGCTAGGTTGCAGTTTGTTGTATGCTGCATTGTTTCGTTAGCATGCGTGTTGTTCTTTGGTTGCCTTGGGGAGAAAAAAAGGAAAAGAAGAAATAAATCGATATAAAAGAAAATATAAATTAAATAATAAATTCAGAAACATAAAAGGAAATATAAATTAAATTATAAAAGCAGAATCATTGCTGTAACGGTCTTAACTACTAACTGGATGGGGCTATATATATATATATATATATATATATATATATATATATATATATGTGTGT